TGTCCCCCCCCCCCCCCCAAAGTGCCTGAGGCAGCTCTAGGCTCACCCAAGACGCCCAAACGAGGCAGCCCAGCACCTGGAGAGGTGTCTGACTTCCTCTGTTCTCCTAAACGGGGCAGCCCAGTACTGCCTGGCCCTTCTAAATTGTGCAAAACAGCACCTCTGGTGCCCAAATCAGTGTCTGGAGTGGCGCCCAGATCTGTCCCTGTAGGCTGTTGCCCAACTCTCCCCGCTGCTCCCTAGCTCGGTTTCCTGCACCTCCAACTGAAAAAAGGCTGTTGTCCAGCGCGCCTAAGCTGCCCATGACAACATTATTAGCACCTAAGTAGTTGCCCATCGCACCAAAGCTATCCAAGACAACATTATCAGCACCCAGGCAGTTGCTCATCGCACCAGAACTGTCCAGGACAGCATTATCAGTGCCCAGGCAGCCCATATTGGCGCTCAAGTTGCTGCCCATCTCGCCCATGCTGTCCACCACATTCCCTGCATGCCTACTTGGGTTGGAGATCTTGCCAGAACTGCCCAAACCCGCACTAGAACGCCCAGACAAGCGCCTAAAAAGGCGCCTACAACCCCCTCGCGAGCTGCTGGTGCGTGCCCATGGCAGTGGCGGCCAGCGGGGACCTCTTTCCTCCTCCTCCTTCAATCCTTGCAGCTCTAAGAACTCCATGACCACTGGATTCAGCTCCAATTTCGCCACCCCCCATGGCACCAATGGAGTTTTCACTCCACCTCCTCCAAACGACATCAAGTGTGCACCAAAAGCAAAAATGCATCATGCAAGGGAAGAGTCATCTAGCAAAGGAAGTCTCCACCACCCAAAACTCAAGATGCAAATAAATGCCCTCTTTTCCAAGCTCCGTTGGACGTAGGGCATTGGGGGGGGCAAATGATGGGCCAAGCCCAATGACCCAACTCATGTTACAAGCCCAAGGACCCAACTCCAAGAGGTCTAGTTAGCCAAGCCCAAAGGAGTCTACACTCCGGTCAAGTTCATCAGGTTCCACGAGTTATATCAGTAGAGCAGCATGAAAGGCCATTCTCAGGCACCCAGGTCTCCTTTGCAGACGCCTAGCTTTCCTCTGCAGGCGCCCAACTTTCTTCCTCTACCACCTTGGAGTAAGGGTCATCCAAGAGCCTTATCCTCTTCCCCTTGGAAAGAGTCAACCTTCACGTCATCATTTGACCAAATCCCATGGAGAGCACCACAACTGCCTAGCCTGTTGAGGAGAAGTCGTGAGCTCCACCAAAATAGTTATGTAGTTGCTAATACTTAGCCCAAATTTGTTAAGAGAGCGACTATAAATTGTAAGTCCCACCAACACTTGGGAGGAGGAGGATAAGCAGGATCACACTCCTACCTAAGCACGACTCTCCTCTCTCTCTCTTAAAACTTGTACTATCTGCTCCCTATACCCTTGAGCTAATAAAAGTACTCGACGATCAGAGCCATTCAAGAATGGACGTAGATCACGTTGACCGAACCACTATAAATTGCTTGTGTCTCTCCATCTCCTTACTTTACTCTTGCATTTATTATTCACACTTGACAGGTGGTATGCAACAACTATTTTGTGCATCATCAAAGACTATTAGAAAATTGATCAGCATGTTATAGGACTTGGTTCATGAGCAGCCAAGAACTAACTAAACAGACTCACAACATTCTTGCCTTTCCTTTGCGTCACTCCATCTGTGTCTCCAAGTTTTTTACACGGCGCAATAAATCAGGTATTATCTATCATGCTTAGATACATATAGGTGGATCAACACAAGCAAAATAACCACATAAACCACCTTCCTACATGTGCAAAATATAAATCTTTGTTTAAATTACAAGATTTTTGTGAAAATATAAAGAAACTTCAGAAAAAAATTCCTAGAAAATGGAATGAAAATTCAGAAAAATACTTTAAAAAATCGGCTAAAAGAGAATAAGCAAAATCCACAATGTGTGAAGAATGAGTGTGTGAAAATATCATTTAGACAACACTTACTTTCATCAATTGTAAGAATATTACTAAATTTCTAATGAGATGTGCAGTTACACTGCATAATTATCGTAAGCCCTAAACCTCATCCTAGGGTTTAGGTCTGTCCATGAAGTCTTCGTTGTTGCCCTTCAAACCCATAGTAGTAGACCCCTTATATTTTCAACTTTTTTTGCTATCTTTTTCTTCCTCTTTCTCCTTCGTCGTCTTCCCCTGCATAATAGATCACCTCTGACCAATCAATCTCCTCTCATATGAGGAAGAAGGTAAACCAACATCGATTTAGCGCCAAAGATGGGTGTAGGGTATTTTTACAATTTAATCCCTACAAAACTCATGTTCAAGTCGTGTGCTGTGTTTTTAAACGACAAAGCAAATGGACATTTGGGATTGGTGCACATTGCATTGTTTTTTACACATTAGGGGTACAAATTGAAAATTTGTGTATCTTTTAGGGGACAAATTGCGATTAGCCAAAAAACATGTGAATAATAATATCCTGCTTTAGTGCAGGGGCAAACTAGTCCCAAACCGAGAAGGCGAAACCCCTGTCACCAAACACAATCTAGGGCGACCCAGGTGACGTTACTCTCACCCACCCTTCCCCTCTAAAACTATATTTCACCACCTCATCCCATTTCCCACGCACAGCCGCTCCCCAAACCCTAACACCCACCCCAAAACCAGAGGGGAGAGAGAGAGAGATTCTGCAATGGGTCGTGTGATCAGAGCACAGCGTAAGGGAGCAGGCTCTGTCTTCAAGTCCCACACCCACCACCGGAAAGGCCCAGCTCGTTTCCGTTCACTCGACTTCGGCGAGCGCAACGGTTACCTGAAGGGCGTCATCACCGAGATTATTCACGACCCAGGTCGAGGCGCTCCGTTAGCCCGGGTCACTTTCCGCCATCCTTTCCGCTTCAAGCACCAGAAAGAGCTCTTTGTTGCCGCCGAGGGCATGTACACCGGCCAGTTCGTGTACTGTGGCAAAAAGGCCAATCTCGTGGTCGGAAATGTCTTGCCTCTTAGATCTATTCCTGAAGGTGCTGTGGTGTGTAACGTTGAACACCATGTGGGTGATCGTGGTGTGTTTGCTAGAGCTTCTGGGGACTATGCGATCGTGATTAGTCACAATCCAGATAATGGGACTAGCAGGTAAACGCCCGAAGCCTGTGGTTTTAGATTCAGATGTATATGTTATTGGTTCTTGATTAATGACTTGTTTGAGTTGTACTCAGCTGATTAGTTTTTCGTATATCTGATGATGGACATAATTGATTGGTGTTGTGGTTCTAGTGTATGTTAATCTGATTTCGATTGGCATTAGGGGTTCAATGGCATGAGTGACGTTAAAGCTTGTTACTTTCACTGTTAAATTTTTTTTTTTTGGATTAGCCAAAGGACTTGTGGATCTTTAGTCTAATGACTAATTGTTTCATGTAGTTTTGATGTTGAATTAGTCTGTGACTTAGGCTGTGTGTTTTAGAGCATGTAATCCAATTTAGAATTAGAATCAGAGTCCACATTTGTTCGAATCTTCAAACTAGTTTTACCCGATTCGAATCTACAAAATCTTTTCTCAAACTAGTTTCACTCCAATTGAAGGCATGAATTATATTCTCCCAACTGCAACATTAGTTTATTAGGTTGAATTATTGAAGGGAATCCAATATGTACTTATTGATTTGTGTCTGCTGTTGAGGTTTTTATTGCTTAGAGGTTGGATTACTGGTGCTTATTTTGGTTGATTTGACGATTGCTATTATTATACCTGGGTTTCTGTATTTTTTTAATTGATTCAAGTTGATATCATTGACATATATTCAGAGCTTGTTTCTCTTTCTGTTTATGGATTTATTCTTGGTAGTTATCATCCACAATAATATGTGGTAGGTTTGTGTTTTTAACTTAATGTCACATTTGTTATTGGTTGATGGAGTTACTTCGAGTTCAATGATATGTTTATGACTTAATGTGAGAGAGATAACATTTCTGAAAAAGGATTAGTTGATATGTTAGGGGATATGATGTTTTATGAACTGAAATTTGCCTATTACTCCTGACCAAATATATATATATATTTCTGCCTATTGCTGTGGTTGTATGACATTTTGATTTATCTGCTTACATGTATTTTTAAGGTGTTGCTAGATTGCCTCCTTGCCTGTTCAGATTCTTGTTGTTCAACGCAGTGCATCATAAATTATCTCTTGGGGGACTTGGGTCATCATCTTCCATCTATGCGATCTATAATTATGCAAACTGAATACCTAGTTTTTAGCTAATTTGATTCTTAATACGCATGATTAGTGCTTTAGATGCTAATATGGGAATATGTCGTACACAATTCACGTGTTATTTTTGTAATGTGTATGAATTTTTTTATCTGGATTAAGTACCGCCTTATTAATCAGTTCTCTATGCCTGTTGTGTGAATCTGTTAATTTCTGTGTGTGACAGGGTGTGAATGTCTCTTAGTTGGCATTGTTTTTAAGCTAGTAAACTTTTATATTTTTTTATTGTACTTTGGTGACATGTTTTATTGCTGTTGATAGGATCAAACTCCCATCTGGATCCAAGAAAATTGTGCCTAGCGGTTGTCGTGCCATGGTTGGCCAGGTTGCTGGAGGAGGACGTACTGAGAAGCCACTCCTTAAGGCTGGCAATGCATATCACAAATACCGTGTCAAGAGGAACTGTTGGCCCAAGGTTCGTGGTGTTGCTATGAATCCGGTGGAGCATCCCCATGGTGGTGGTAACCACCAACATATTGGTCATGCTAGCACAGTTCGTCGTGATGCACCACCTGGGCAAAAGGTTGGTCTTATTGCTGCTAGGAGGACTGGTCGGCTCCGTGGACAAGCCGCTGCTACTGCTGCCAAAGCTGATAAGGGTGCTTAGTGAAACTTTTAAGGATGGATTAATTTTTGTTATTGTTTTTTCTATTTATTTGGTTTGGATTTTGCATGTTCACTTGCTACTTTGCTGTAGTAAAGAAATACTCAGTTTTGATGGGAACTTCTTTAGTAATTTTCCTTTTGTCCATTTTGAACAAGTATGCCTTTGCCATTTGTTAGTGATAATATCAATTGAGGGTTGTGGTCATTATTTGGTTTGAGCGGCTACGTTCATTGTGTTTTGTTTATGTCTTAGGATAACTTGGGCCTGAAGGCACGGTGCAACATAAGTAAGAAGTGATGAATTTTAAAAAATAAAAATACAATGTAAATAGTTTTGAGAGGGATATTTGAGGTTGTTAGATGAGTCTGTATATAGATTTGACACAAATAAAAGGTAATATTTTATAATATTTAATCATCTTATAAATTTTATATTTTAATGATTTTTGGTTATATATTCGGTAATTTTTGAACTAAAGGAAGTTTCAGCAAATCATACAAATATTCTAAGGAATCAATTTTAGTTTGTTAATTTTAAGGGATTTGATATGGATTTTTTTTTTGTTCTAGTACTTAACTTGTTTGACCCAATTAATTTTTTTTTCATAAATCATTATAGCAGGCCTAATTAAGAATATTCAAAAAAAATATATAACTTAAAAAAAAAAAATCAGAATGGTCATAGACCCCTCCTCTATCTGTCACCATGTGAGAGAGTGAAGAGTGAGAAGAGGAAAATAAAATTCAATCTGAATGATTTTTAGAGAGATATTGGTAGTCGTTTGATAAGTTTACTTGAGACCGTTAGATAAATTTATTGAATTTTTTTCTGTTTTATTTCATAGATAAATTCACAAAATATGATATAACTGACTTAAAAAAACATTAATTTATATATATGTAATCAAAATCGAACATTAATTATATACATGTAATCAAAATCGAGTCAAATATAATATAAATTAAAAATCTAATTGATCAAAAAACATATCACCAAATATGTTCTATCAAAAAAAGTTTTAGAAATATCATTTATAAAATATTATTTTTTTAATTAGTATAAGTTATTCCAAAATTATTAATTTATAAGAATATATTAATGTTGAATTTTTTAAGAGATAAAAAAAATAGTCTTGAGCTTTTGATTTAAGATATGTGTAAGACATATTAATTTTATATAATTAAATAAATAAAAAAAATTAAAATTAATTATATTCAATATAAATTTGTTAAATAGTGCCATTGTTTTTTTATTTATTAAATTGATGAGTTTTTTTTTAATCAAAATATTATTACTGTGTCTTGTAAAAATTTAAAATGTTACACGACAGAGATAATATTAATGACAAATTTGACTCATTTAATTATTTTGTTAAAAAAATCCTTTGTTCCAAGATCAATTGTAATCGTTGATCAGTTGGGGGAGAATATTAAGGGGGAAAAAAAAGAGGTAATTTTTTGACTGTTGAATAAGTGAATTTGAGACGGTAAAATGAGCTTGTTGAAGCCGCCCAATTTAATATTATAGATGGATGGATTATTGTGATATTTGGTGGGCCATTTTGTGGCGAAGCTGTACACCAATGAGGCTCCCCTTATTTTGGGCTGATTACCCTTTGTAATGGCGTTAGGCTCCAACGGCCCTCCGATACTTCAATATAGAATACATAATCGAGTCAAGTTTTGAAAGTTTGAGTCAAATCTATTGAATTCATTTTTTTAAACAAATTTTAAAAATTGTTCAAGCTTGACTCGTTTAAAACATAAATCGATTCCGAAGTCGAATTCAAAAAGAGCAAAACTCGAGTCGAGTTTGAGTAATTTGAATGATTTACATATAAATGAGCTAAGCTTTACAAAATTGAGTTTTACAAATTTCAAAGGCTAAACAGTTTTTCTTTTTGGACCTGTATTTTCAAATCCAAGACTGAAATAAGAAAAGCCACAACAACTATTATAAGTAGATCTGTCAATTATGTTGAGTGATGCAGGTTCGTGTCAAAAAATACTTCACGCATATTCAATTCATTTAATAAATTGCGTCATAATAAGTTCGTGTCGTTTATACATCGCATATAATTGGTATATAAACGAGTCGTGTCGTTTATTTCTTCTGATTAGTTTAACTCATACCCGATTTATTTATTAATTGTATTATTTCAAGTCTACCAATGTATTAAATGAATGGCTTAAAGAAGACTCAAATTTTTTAATTTTATATCATATTCATATCCTGTTAACGGTTTATATTATATTTTAACATCCCTAACTATAACCAATCAGCGATTGGTTGTCTAGGGTCCCATTTTCATTCCCTAGTTCTTACATGATCATGTGGGCTGCAATAGTTGGTGGTCTAAAGCCATGCCCCAACTACGGGGTTTTTTGTCATTTAAATTTCCTCCGTAGAAAGTCATTCCTTCATAAAAAATTAGTGAATTTTAAAATAATAACTAAATTAAAACACAATAAAAATTCTAAAAAATTGATTAAAAATTTAAGGACCAAATTAAAAAAAGTGTATAATTTCAAGATGTAAATTATAATTTATCTTTTAAATTTTTTTGGTAAATTTCATTGATACCCCAAAATTTAGATCATATTTCATTGACACCCCCCTTATTCTCCATAACGCAGAGGGTATTATTGTAATTCAGAAATAATTCTAAGCTCTCTCACATATTGGTCTAAATTCAGTATCCCTCCCCTCGAGTGGCCTGTCTTTCTTCCTCTCGAAACTTTCTCTAAAACCCCGCTGTTGGTGTCTGGAGAAAAAGCTTAAACCCTAGATGGCGATGAGGACGGCGGCAATGTCAACGGTGGCGGCGGCCACTCCTCGAGGACTGAGAGGGTTGTTATTCTCAAGTATATCATCAAGTTTTCCGTTCAATACACCGCCGACGAGTCCAGAGAAGCCTCCTCCGGCTGATCCCTCCGCCAACCTCTTCGTCTCCGGCATGTCTTTCTCCCTTACCCCTAAAATTTCTTCAATTTCTTCCAATTTATTGCTGATCGTTTGTTCTTTTAAGTCGAATGCACATAGACATCATTCATTCGGAAGTTCTCCATTAGTAGATCCGTGGACTCTCTTTTGGTTACTGTGAAAACGAAATAAATAGTTCTACTTCTCAATGAAATGGAAAATTTAGATAAAATTTATTTGAGGCATACAAGATCAATTGATTGCAGTGTGTTACAGCGTCTAATTGTTTGATTAAACGTTTGGTTGTTAAAAATATGGGTTTTAGTTATTATTGGTGATATCAACTTTTTATGCATCTGGATGACGGATTCTGTTTAGATATTAATCCTCTTTTGGTGTTGATCTTCCGTTTAGTATAGTAATCTTTTTTCTTTCCTGGCATGTTATACCACGTATTAGACATGGGTGCGCGTTTTTTTTTACTCACTTGTTGCAAGTGTTTCTTGCAGATAAATATATGTTATAAGCATGCATTAGTATGTTGAAATCTACAAGTTGTTAGCTTGAACGTTGTTGCATGCTGCCACCCATAAAGGAGTTGGGTCCATATACCAGTTGGGACATGGGTGCCAAGGATCACTTATCCAAGTACACTAGCAAGCATATATAGAACGATAGGTTTTTTGAGAGAGACGTTTTTTTGTAGGTATGATTCTTAGATAGGGTGATAGGATTATAGGAAATCATAAAAATGTACAGGATAATGCACCTGATACTATCGCCAACATAGGTTGTGATTCTGGGTTTGAACCCATACATGGAGGGAATACAAGTCTGAGCACTGAGATTTCTTACATGTTCATTGCTCCATTGGTCCATTATGCAGTCTAGTTGGATATGGGGCATATTAGAAGTTGCAGAATTAATGTGTAGCACAGACATGTGGCAGACTGAAGATAAATCACAATGTGATTTAATTAGTCTACCCTTTTAATTGCCTTGGATGTAATCAATGGTGTGTCTTTACACACAATTGACTCGAGAAGAAGGTTCCATGTAATCCCTTCATGAAGTTTTAGTTACTGATCATGGAGCAGAGTTGACTTGGAAATAGCAATTGGAAGTGAAAAGGCGTTGAACTAATTACTTCCCCTTTCAATTGGCAAAATTGAACTAATTTCAGCTTAAGTCATTGAGCTTGAGCATATTGCATAGAACAAAATGAAGGTGAATTTAAGGGAAATTTCTTATCCACATACGGAGTAAGGCTGCATACATCTGACCATCTCTAGATTCCGTAGTGGTGGAAATTTTGGAAATTGCTTATCCACATACGGAGTAAGGCTGCATACATCTGACCATCTCTATTCCGTAGTTGTGGGAATTTTGTGCATTGGGCTGCCCTTTTTATCCAAGGAAACATTATTTCAGTGGCCACACAGAAGTCTGCTAACTGGCCACAAGGACCACCAAGTCTTGGTGAATTTTCTATCTTCAAGTGAATGATTGAATTTGGAATTATGATCGATTATAAGACTCTCAGTTCTAATATTTTTGCAATGAATATGAAACCAGGATCTAGTTTTTAGTTTTTTCTTCGGCATAAAGGACCTATCTTTGAGAATACCATACCTTTTTAGAGAATAAGGTAAGAAAGAACTTTGCTGGAATGTTGGTTGAATTGAATGTAATTAATCCTACTGGACGGTAGTCACTAGCCAAGAATGTTACTGCTTATACGGAATTAACTTGATAGGTTGCATAGAGAATCTCCTTTAAAAGCTTCTTGAGAGCTATATTAGTTTTGGAGATGATGGTTTTCATGTTCTCTGCTTATCTGCAACCAGAGGGTGCTTACGATCTGCCATTATAATCTGGTAATTTAAACATGTTTGCACTTGTATGCAGTCACTGACATGATGAAAGCAAGTTAAGCAACACCTACTTTCCAAAGATGGATTTGGAGGCTTGGGATATCGTTCTGTATTCTTCGTTCCTTGGCATCTGTTTTATCAGTATAGAGGACGGAGGCTGGTTTTTCTTCTTTTTAGGTTTAATTGTCAAAAAAGAAATGCTTTGTAACTACATTTTTTTAGCTTTTTTCATATAGCAGATAAAATCTAAGATGGCTTGAATTTTAAATTATATGGAGTTTCTTCTTGCCTTTCCAGATTGGTGTGTGTTTCTCTTTTTTGGGAAACCTGAAAATTGTTATTTTGTGCCCCCTTTATTCATTTGTGCCGCTATGGCTGGTTTAATATGGACATGATACTATGTTGTTTTCAGTCTCGCTTTGATATTGNTTAAATTATATGGAGTTTCTTCTTGCCTTTCCAGATTGGTGTGTGTTTCTCTTTTTTGGGAAACCTGAAAATTGTTTATTTTGTGCCCCCTTTATTCATTTGTGCCACTTTGGCTGGTTTAATATGGACATGATACTATGTTGTTTTCAGTCTCGCTTTGATATTGTGCTGGTTTTGTCACGAGTGATGGATTCTATTTCGGTTCAGTTTTGACTAGATTCTGTTCCTGCTCTTTTGCAGGGCTTAGCAAACGAACTACTTCAGAGGGACTTAGAGAAGCCTTCGCAAAGTTTGGTGAAGTAATCCATGGTGTGTTTTACTACTGCAGGTCTGCAGAAAATTTTCTGAATGCTCCTCTCTCAAAAATTGAATTGAGTTTTGCTTCCTTGCTTCTTGCAGCTAGAGTGGTAACTGATCGTGCATCAGGATACTCAAAGGGGTTTGGTTTTGTGAGATATGCTACTTTAGAAGAGGCTGCCGCAGGTATAAAGGGCATGGATGGAACGGTGAGCTGACACAACCCAAACACTTAACTATGCTGTTTAAGAACAAAAAGGCTGTTTGTCAGTGCATTGATGCATGTGGGTACACACATGCACTGGTATAAAAAGATAAAGTGGTCTGGAATTGTGTGCTTGGCTTGTCAAGAAACTATTTGGATCTGGAGTTGTGCCCATTCACTCCCGGGAGAGTAAGACCAATAAGCTTGAAACTGAAGTAGGAAAAGGGGGAAAATAAAGGTTTAGGAGGGGAAGGGAAGTGAAAGGGAAAAGTAGGTGAGGAATTTCCTCCAGGGTCTCCAATTTTGCTTTGATACAGAAGTGGGCGAAAAAGATGAGCGAAAGAGATTTATTTTCACCCAAGAACCAGTATGCTTCTATTAACATGTCAAGGTGTAATGGAAAAAGAGTCTAAACCAACTTTCTTTCTCTACTAAACAGATGGAGTTAAAGCTGGTTTTCCATTTGGGGAACCTCTTACATTGTATTTCTCCTATCTTCACATCTTCTCAAGATCACATGGAATAATAAGAGCAAAGAAAAGAGAAGCCAGTGCGTATGCTGGCTTAGATTCTCAAAAGCCGTGAAACATACGATGTTTAGACTTTAGAGTTATGGGATCTGTCTGATGGATAGTAGCCAGTCTGCTTATAAAGCATGGTACAGTGGTCATATTTTGTGCCTGTGTAATTAGAATTTTTGTGTGATTCCTGCAATCTTATTTGCCTAATGCTCCTTGTGTGCAAATTTTGCAGGGTGCAAAATGTAGTGTGTTCTTGTTAGCAGGCTCATGGTCATTTTTTATCTGTAATGTATATTGTATTTATAACAGTGTTCTGTCTTATTGTTTTGATGTAGTTTTTGGATGGATGGGTTATATTTGCGGAGTATGCAAGACCAAGACAACCTCCTCCCCAACCCGAAAGTAATGGGCCTCTGTATGGCCGCCAGTAGGTCCTGTATTCAGGGGAAGAAGCTTCTATCATTGAGATATTGCATTCATATGTTCAGAGCCTTTGATGAAATGATACTTCTCTAATTTGCCCCAATTGAAACTTCATTGTTGTCGCTCTGTGTGTCACTTCTTTATTAAGGTTGATATGAAATTGATCCATCGAATTGACCGATATATGTATTTGAAAGGTTGAATATTAAAACAGCTATGCGCAGAAATTCATTATCTGTTGGTTAGTGTAACTATGTAGATTCTGCATCTTGAACCTGTTATTTATGGAACATACGTACGGTTTGATATTTAGAATTGGAAAGCGTAATACAGGGAGTTTGAAGAGATTTAGATGTACAAGTTTTCGTTCAGATGTGGATAGGCTTTTGGTCACGTATGCTTGAGAAGGTGAGTTAGGTGTTGATTTGTGATGTGGCCTGTCTTAGGCTTTGATTGTGATGTAATTTGGTTGTCTAGAAACTTTCATTTAGTTGACATTTGGGTATAGTTTGGCTTTGGTAAGCGACTAGGCGTTGGAGAAAATCTCATATCATATCTTTTTNTAGGCTTTTGGTCACGTATGCTTGAGAAGGTGAGTTCGGTGTTGATTTGTGATGTGGCCTGTCTTAGGCTTTGATTGTGATGTAATTTGGTTTTGTCTAGAAACTTTCATTTAGTTGACATTTGGGTACAGTTTGGCTTTGGTAAGCGACTAGGCGTTGGAGAAAATCTCATATCATATCTTTTTTTTTTTTTTTAAATAAATGAAAACCCGTAAGAAGTTACATACTTGTTTTGAACATATTTTTAGTCTAAGAACACTAGCAACTGCGAGTTTAAATACCATCTCGGAAAAACATAACTTTGAAAGAGAAGATGAGGGTTTATTAATCAACTTGAGTAAAAGAGAATATGAGAGTTTATTAATCAACTTGAGTGTTCGGAAAAACCTAATTTTGAAAGAGAAGATGAAAGTTTATTAATCAACTTGAAACTCCTGTTTTATTTAATGATTCGATACCCTGTTTGTATTTTTGGACCATGTGTCTAGATCAAGAAACATATTCAAGCAGGTGTATCTACTCAAACCCTCACAATTCATCTGCACATTTATTATACTGGTGCACAGGTGGACAAGTATCTTGGCCATAATCTCCAATGGCCAAATTCCTTTTGCCCTCCTCTGGAAGCAATTGATCAAACATTTCTATTCTACTGTTGAAAGCAACTGGACAGTGGATATTTCAAGCTTGATATGCCATAGTCATTTGATCTACCACAAACAAATGGCTACAGCTAGAGGTGTTTAGTTGGAAGATATGCCATTTTCTCGAAGGAGCTTAAAAATTTGTGGTGGGTTTATAGATTTGTGACAAGTTCTTTTCTTTGGATATGTGTTCATAAATTTGGGTATATGTATATATATTTTTATTCTCAACGGTATAGATCATTTATTGGATACGGATAAGAGACATATTAATTTAGTGGGTTTTGATTAAATCTATCATAAATATGTAAGATTGATTTAATTATGTGAAAACCATCACACAAACAGGAACATGCATATTGAATCATCAAGAATTAAAATATTGTATTTGCGGAAGCGTACCTGAATTCATAACAAAATATTGCAATATTCGAGTATGAGAATTTATGATTAAACTTGTAATTCTAGATCTACACTTGTTTTCTGTCTAAATTTCTCTCTGACANGTATTTGCGGATGCGTACCTGAATTCATAACAAAATATTGCAATATTCGAGTATGAGAATTTATGATTAAACTTGTAATTCTAGATCTACACTTGTTTTCTGTCTAAATTTCTCTCTGACAATGGGAATCAGAAGAATAAAAAAAAAATATTCTATGATCTTGGGACCATGACCCCTATTTATAAACAATCGTGTCTATTTATTAACAATCACGTCTGTTCGTAATTTCTATTTTAACCTATCATAAAAATAGAAATTACGCTTGTCTCTACAAATTAATGCCCACACTTTATAATATATTAATTAAGGCCCCAAAACTTAAATTAATCACTTTAATTAGCCTAACTTTATTTGATAGCCTATAATTCACATTTATTAATATATAAGCTCATATATTTAATTTTACTCCAATAATCTCCCACTTGGGCTATATATGTAACTTTATAAACATGAATTATACTTTTATGAGCTCATGAGTTTTGTTATCAAAACTTTATATATTTTAACAATCTTGTCTATTAATCACACCAATACAGAATCAAAGCGATCGTCGTTACATATTTCGTAACTAGACCCATCAATGATCACATATATCAATGCAACTAATAACAAAGATCAAGTGTGGAGGTGTAGCATGGAAATTGAAGAGGAATATGTAGATACAGAATACTCAAGTAGGATTCGAACTATAGACCCCATTCATCTAAGCAGTGCAACAATGCCACTCAACCAACACACTCGTTATGATTAGATGCGTTTGAATAAATTTAAAAACTATATGCCTGGTATGAATGCAAACAAAACAACGTTGTTTAGGTATTCTTCTTCACGGATTCAAAATCAAAAACACAGAAGAAAACAGTGACCGATTCTACATCTCTTTTTTTTTAACTTAAAAAACTTATAAAATCAATCGTGTGTCCAAAAATTATGAAATTTATATCGTTGAACTCTTAATGAGATGTAGAATTTTTCTGTTATAAAATATTTCCAAAAATATTAAAAAAAAAAATTTTAAAAAAAATATTTTCGGCCCTAACAAAAAATCATATCCTAATTTATTCTCAACAATTCAACATGAAATGGCTCTGATACCACATGTAAGATTGATTTCATTATGTGAAAACTATCACACAAACATGAACATGCATATTGAATCATCAAGAATTAAAATATTGGATTTGTGGAAGCGTACCTGAATCCATAACAAAATATTGCAATATTCGAGTTTGAGGATTTATGATTAAACTTGTAATTCTAGATATACACTTATTGTCTGAGGCATTATGATATTCTAAATCTACATTTATTTTCTGTCTAAATTTCTCTTTGACAATGGGAATCAGAAGAATAAAAAATAATATTCTGTGATCTAGGGACCATGACCCCTATTTATAAACAATCGTGTCTATTTATTAATAGTCACGTCTGTTCGTAATTTCTATTTTAACCCATCATAAAAATAGAAATTACGCTTGTCTCTACAAATTAATGTCCACACTTTATAATATATTAATTAAGGCCCCAAAACTTAAATTAATCACTTNAGTCAGAAGAATAAAAAAAAATATTCTGTGATCTAGGGACCATGACCCCTATTTATAAACAATCGTGTCTATTTATTAACAGTCACGTCTGTTCGTAATTTCTATTTTAACCCATCATAAAAATAGAAATTACGCTTGTCTCTACAAATTAATGTCCACACTTTATAATATATTAATTAAGGCCCCAAAACTTAAATTAATCACTTTAATTAGTCTAACTTTATTTGATAGCCTATAATTCACATTTATTAATATATATAAGCCCATATATTTAATTTTATTCCAACAAAATAATCTATTTTTGTGAAATTTTGAAAAAAAAATATTAGTTGAAATCAAAAAGCACCATGACACTATATATTATTGTAGGATGAAATATGTGGGTGAAAAAAGTATGTGTTTAATTGTAAGAGTAGTGCAAGTGGTAACAGAAATAAGTTGTGAATTTAGGCATTCTAAATTCAAATTTTGTATAATTTATCCCTCATGAATATTCTATTCCTGGAATGGATAACCTGTTTTTGATTGGATTGAGAAAGAGATTAGTTGAAGTGTGCGTAAATTAATCCGAATATCCTTGATTGTTGAAAAAGAGTATGTGTTCCCATCGTCTTCAAACGCNAATGCGCATAAACTGATCCGAATATCCTTGATTGTTGAAAAAGAGTATGTGTTCCCATCGTCTTCAAACGCCCCTTATTGCACATTCCACTTTAGGGGCTTAATGGCTCGTGAAAATATTAAGTATAATGGTCATATTATGTTAGTAGTGTTACGTGATACAATCATTCAATAATAAGCGAACGATTGGACAAGTGAGCTCTACAAAATTTAATAGTCACTCATTTATACAATATATAACTACTTTTACGTAAAGAAGTGAGATCCACTTTTTTATTTTTTTATTAGATAATTATACCACGTGACATTATTGACGTAATATGACCGGTACATTGAATATTTAACAAATGCTTACCTTTATCTCACCCACATAGACATAGCCATTCACCATTAGATAGTCTATATCTTCTGGACCTGGCACATTGTAGCATAGTNTTATTTTTTTATTAGATAATTATACCACGTGACATTATTGACGGAATATGACCGTTACATTAAATATTTAACAAATGCTTACCTTTATCTCACCCACGTAGACAGCCATTCACCATTAGATAGTCTATATCTTCTGGACCTGGCACATTGTAGCATAGTATTTTGAGGTTTTTTTTTTGGTGATACTGACGTGGTCCACGTAGTTAAAAGATACAGATATCATGATTAACAACTATTATATACATATGCGTATATGTATGTATGTAAAAGTTACAAAGAGGAGTGGCCTATTAAAACCCCAAAGATCNTGGTGATACTGACGTGGTCCACGTAGTTAAAAGATACAGATATCATGATTAACAACTATTATATACATGTGTATATGTATGTATGTAAAAGTTACAAAGAGGAGTGGCCTATTAAAACCCCAAAGATCCAATTTGATTTTGTTGTTTTTTATAATGTTATGGAAAAGATAGGATTAAGTAATTTAATGATAATTAACAAACCCACCCTAATCGTGCAAGTGCTTGGTGAATAGATTGTTCTTATGAGAAGAAAGTGAAATGTAATTAATTGGACTCGTTTATCAGATGGATAGAAAAATTCGTTAACGTCATTGTTCGAAAGTGCTTTCACGTGTATATAAAAAGAGAAAAATGAAAGAAAAAACTAATGGCTATAGTAGAAATTNGCTCATATGAGAAGAAAGTGAAATGTAATTAATTGGACTCGTTTATCATATGGATAGAAAAATTCGTTAACGCCATTGTTCGAAAGTGCTTTCACGTGTATATAAAAAGAGAAAAATGAAAGAAAAAACTAATGGCTATAGTAGAAATTAAAAGGACATGAAAAGAGAGTTTTTCCTTTTGTTGGTTTTTTATTTGAGAGTTGTCATCAAGATTATTACTTGAGATCTGAAAAAAAAAGACATTGAGAATAGAGACTAAAGAGATATTGGTGTGGTGATGATCAAAGACTCTTCGACGCTCTTGTTAAATTTGTGTACCCCTTTTCTCGTTTTTATAGGTATAAGAGTTAAAGTGGACNTAGAGATCTGAAAAAAAAGACATTGAGAATAGAGACTAAAGAGATATCGGTGTGGTGATGATCAAAGACTCTTTGACGCTCATGTTAAATTTGTGTACCCCTTTTCTCGTTTTTATAGGTATAAGAGTTAAAGTGGACAAAGTCGATCCAATTCATTAAAGTAACCATCCTCCATGTAAAATAGTTATCATCTCATATTAAAAAGTGAGATTCATCATGCCTATTTTTTTGTTTACTATCAGACGAGTACAACACATCATTATGGTTACGTAGTGTAGTCATTACTATAGATTACTCCTTGGTAAGACCTTCTTTTAATGCTAGGCCTAAGCCCTCCTTTTGAGTCATCTTTGTCTTAAAGTCGTCTACGTTGCATTTTGTGTGTGTGTGTGTGTGTGTTTTTTTTGCTAGTAAAAAAAGATGTGGGATAAAGGCAAGCACTCAAAGATCACTCCGATAGGCTTTTGTTGGTGAAATAATAAGGTCCCTGATTACNAGATCACTCCGATAGGCTTTTGTTGGTGAAATAATAAGGCCCCTGATTACGTCAATTATTCTTCTTGGGAATAAACCTAACTAAATTAGAATAGCAGTCCACCACCGATTCTCAATATAAACTTTAAAACTTGAATTTTTAACCTCAAAGTGAAAATTTTGACATAAACTACCCCCACTTGGTGGTGAATTTTTTGTGTTGTTTCTGAACTGAGTCGGATAGTCAAAATCTCCAACACCAGTTGGTATCTGACAGTGAACCGCTAACAATTCCCATCTGCCAGAAAATTTTATTTCTTTTGTTTTTGGCATGCATGCAAAGACGTGCCTCTAAAACAATTGCTTCATTTAAGCAACACGCAATTATTTACACAAATATTAATTTATATTTCCTATATTTAAAGTCCTAATTCGGTGGATTATCCTAAATATAAAAATAAGTGTTAATAGCACTTTTAATCCTTAAAATATATTCGTTTTGTTAGTTTGATTCTCTTTGGAAACTAAATTTGTCAATTTAGTTCCCAAAGTTTCAATTCACGTCATTTTGATTCCTAATCAGATATTTTTTTTTTTTTTGAAAGTGACTACGTGTCATGCTCTCAAACAGTATCACGTGACCAACGCATAATCATTCTGTCAAAACTTAATAGTCCGTTTGTGTAAAAACCATTTAAACATGAATTGAATACATTAGAGATCAAATTTATAAAATTGATAATTTATGAACCAAACTAATAAAACGCGCATACTTTAGGTACCAGAAACACTATTAACCCAAAAAAAATATGTATATAATTTCGACTTAATTTGCTAAAATAATTTATTGGCATAATCGAACACAACCATTGTATTGTTTATAGATCTCAAGAAATACTAGGACTCATTGTCAATACAACGATTAAATTAATAAATTAAATCAATAATTTAAATTCAAGTAACATTACTAAAACGTCAAAAGGTGGAAAGTTGTTGGAGTAACATGCAAATTAACGACAATGATGGGCCACGCCACAATAATGTGCCCTTTTGTTCCTCATTATAAACACACATTTTGCACTGTAAGTAACCACTTTAATAAGGGTAAATTACAAATGACACCCCTCTCATTTGAATTTTTCTGTCTAGCCACCACAAACTTCTCAATATTAACACAAAACCAATTTGGTAATAGAAAGACTGATCTTTGACAACTGAAATGGTCAAAAGTATGAACTCAAATATATAAATTACTAATTAAAACGAATGCATTAATGACGAAATTAGTCATCGATGAGGAACATAGAGAGAAAAATTTTATTTTTTGACAGGATCAAGGTATTGTGTGGTGCTAAGAATGGGTACGTCCCACCGCCATCATCCCACCACCAATTAAGCTCCCTTCCCCCTCTTCGTCGTGCATGCATGCACACAAGTCTGTGAACAAAAACATTACTTAACACAGCAAAAGTTGTAACAGATTTGAGATTAATTTTACATTTTTCGTTTTGGATGGTGATTATTTACAATTTTCTTTTTGTTATTTCTTATTTTGTTGGGACTAATTGTGATTTATGGAATTCTAGAGGATGATTGGAAAATAGTAATAAAAAGCCTAGCTTTCACTCTTTCGCCTCCAACCCCCCAATATTTAGGGAGGGGTCATTGAAAATAAAATAGTGACCAAGTGTCAATTATTTAATGAAATAGAGAACAAGTGGCAATTAACAAATCTTCACAAAACTTTCCAAAATTTTATTACATTGTTTCAGTTATTTTAAAAATAAAAATAATTCAATACGTTTTAAAAATAGAAATAAAAAAATTTTAAGAATTATTTTTTTGATCAAAATATTTAAAAACACATTGAAATATTACAAAATAATTGTATAAATATATTTAAATATTATAAAATACCCCAAAATATTATAAAAATCCTTCAAAGTATTAAATTTTCAATTTCAATATTGATTCCTTTCGGCCTTATCAAAAACAAAAACGTTTAGATCAGGTAAGAGTAGTTCTCTTTATAAAAAGGCAATGGCGCATAGCATTGGCGGCATGTAAACGAACTGTGAGAGAGAGAGAGAGAGAGAGAGAATCTGTTTACAAGGTCAAGGGAGAAGGAACCAACCCCCATAGATTCATTAAACTTGGAACCTTTGTTGCCTTTTGATCTTCGTGTTGATTACTACGGTCTACAAGATCAAGACTTAGTCGAAGAAGACGAAGCAAAGCGAGAGAGAACTAAATACCAACACTATGATGACAACAACAGAGGTTGGTGTGCTCCACCAATGGCACACTCTCTAATCTACCCTTCTCATAATTCTCACCATCTTTATTCTCTTTCTCTCTCTCGATCCACAGTTCCACACTCTTTTCTATACAGCATGAAGTTTCTCTTGGAACTTGTCTCCTGCTGTGGAACTATATCTCGCCCATCGGTCCCTACAAGTCCACCGCCGGCGGATGAGACTAGGTGCCTTGTGCCTTCAACTCCGCCGGAAAGCCGTCGGAAGCGCGGGAGGGTGGCCTCCAAAAGGTCTGCGTATACGCCCCAATGGAGGCCTTCACTACACGCGATCTCCGAGGACAACGTCGTGGTTGAGAGTAAAGAACGAGCCGTTGTTGGATCTGAAAGAGTTCTGAAGAGAAAAGTTGAACCGCCGACGGGAAAAGTTCGCATCCGTAGCTGCAGCGACGATTCAAGGTAAAATTTATTTAATTTTTCTTTTCCAATACTGGGTGTGTAGCCGGGTAGCAAGCCTATTGTTGAGGTTGACTTTGATATTTGAAACAGAGAAGTCACACGTTCAATCTCTTTTATCCGATATCTATCCGATATTTTGTAAGGACTAACTGCCTTAAAAGGTCCTGTTCTAATCTAGTTTAAGTCAAGGTAATCGATTGCTAAATTTAAAGAAATAGTTGAGTGAGTTTTTCGAGAATAATCGATATAAATTTAAATATTTTTTAACAAAATGAAAACATTAATTTCAAGATTACAAACATGTTAACTTGTAAATGAATTTAATGCATCGAGTCAAGTGCCTGAACAAAATACTCAATCTGTGTGGGGATTCTGGACAGTAGATGTTTTCATGCACGAAATGCATCAATATCGTCCTGTGAAATAACACTTCTGCGGACAGGAGAATAGCTTCACCCTTCTCTCCTTCATAAATTATTGTTCGTGTCACTTCAGGGTCCTGCTATTGCTCTTTCTTTTCTTCTGTTTTTTGAGAAAGTGTTGGTTCTATAGTTAGTTGAATTTCTATTTTTTTTCTCTGCTAAAATATGATGAACAGAGTTAATTTACTGATTTTCGTGCTCATTTGTTTTTTTTTTTTTCAATTTTTCTTGATGCAGGAGACCTCCACTTCAAGCAATCATGCCGACGCCATTTTTGTTTTGATGGGTCTTCCTTGAGCCTGTTCATCGAATCCTGCGTTTTGTGGATAAAAAATGTGTAATTTTTAGCTGTAATGAGCTTTTGATCTGCTATTTCCAACTATGATGTTAAAGCTAATAGTACTGTCCTGCCACAGTAAGAATCCATTCTGTTTTAGATCAAATCCTCTAGAACTAAATGGTTTCAGTTTTCTTGGAAGTAAGTTTATTATTGGTCCCCGGGCATTGCTACAACAGCTCTCTGTCTTATCATATTTATGTCAAACGGTCAAAATTTTGTTCTATGCATTGTTTCGACCACTTAGAAAACAAAAACGTTTTGATGTGTTTTAGAAATATTTTGACATGTATCAAAAACATAATGAAAAAAATAAAAAAAAATTAATTTTTCAAAACATTAGTCGAAATATACCCAAATATTTTGAAATACCTTAAACATTCTGAAATTATTGTACAAATACATTAAAATANTGTTGGTCCCCGGGCATTTCTACAACGGCTCTGTCTTATCATATTTATGTCAAACGATCAAAATTTCGTTCTATGCATTGTCTTGATCGCTTAGAAAACAAAAACGTTTTGATGTGTTTTAGAAATGTTTTGACATATATCAAAAACATAATGAAAAAAATAAAAAAAAATTATTTTTTGAAAGCATTAGTCGAAATATACCAAAATATTTTGAAATACCTTAAACATTCTGAAATTATTGTACAAATACATTAAAATATAACAAAACATTTCGAAACATTATAGAACACCTCGAAGTATTAAAATTTCAATTCCATTATTAATTCGTTTTGATCTCCTCAGAAACAAAAACGTTTTAGATGTTTAAACCGTTTCAAAACGATATTTTAATCCTTTCTTTTGTCCTTTTTTTTTTTCATCAGTAAGCAATTAATTTTGCTAATTGGACGAGTGATACAAGTATACCAAGTATACCCGATGTAATTACATTAGCAAATTCCAAAACATAGAGCAATGACAGATCTTCTATTCATAACTGGTAAGGAGACTAGCTAGCCATGCCCCAAAACAGAACAAATGCGTCAGATTTATGAGNTCATCAGTAAGCAATTAATTTTGCTAATTGGACGAGTGATACAAGTGTACCCGATGTAATTACATTAGCAAATTCCAAAACATAGAGCAATGACAGATCTTCTATTCATAACTTGTAAGGAGACTAGCTAGCCATGCCCCAAAACAGAACAAATGCGTCAGATTTATGAGTACACACCCTCTTCTTGATCACCCTCCCTTGAACCTAAATTGGTCGAGATAAATGAACTCAGAACCACATTTTATAACTTTCGAACTAGCAAATGTGGAATTCCAAAACCTAACAACTCGGTTGAGAGGTCCGTGACTCATTCAAGGGAAGGTCCACCAATAATTGATAGGCCCAAAATTTGGACCGGCAATAGCTACAAAGATAATTCAAATCTTTTTCTCGCAAACCCATTTTCCTTCACATTGTAATACAAAATACTCTGTCCATCTTCAAAGGTATGTCAGTGTTCTTTTTTTTTTCCCTTTTTTGTGTAAAAGTGAAAANTCCTCGCAACCCATTTTCCTTCACATTGAAATACAAAATACTCTGTCCATCTTCAAAGGTATGTCAGTGTTCTTTTTTTTAACCTTTTTTGTGTAAAAGTGAAAAAGGTCACCCCTTTTTTGTGCTTAAGCCTATTTGGATGCTCAGAATTAAGCAGGCTTAGATGCCAAGTGCATTTTGAATTGACACTCTCCATGAGAAAGAGAGAGATCAAAAAAGAAAAGCAGGAAAAGTAAAAGTGTGGGGCCAGAAAGAGTTTGGTGAGAAGAGAAAAGAGAAAAGAAAAAGTTTGGAGTGAAAAAAAATGTGAAGGAAAGGGGCAGGCACTCTTCTCCCATGACATGGATACAGATACTTCATACTTAAACATACCTTTCAGCTTTGTGACAAGAGGTGTTGGAAAGCCACATGAAAGATGAAAAAAGAAGCCCACACCAATTTGAGAAAGAAACATCACTCTTCGCCTATAAATCTCAGAATACATTATTTTTAGTTTGAGCTTAAGTTCTAGGTTCAGTTTAAGTCCAACCGTATAAGCGTCTAAATTCTAACAAAAAGGGTGAACTATTTCTATATCAACAATTACAACGTGTTTTCACTACAGAGATGCGTAACCACTCAACATAACTTTCTATCATGATTTTAGATTGAACTAATTCTTGCGACATTGTAAAGAATACTTGAATCTCTACAAAATTTATTCAAATCAAAATTTGTGAATCGATATTTAACAAGGTCAAAATTGGGATGCAAGTTTAGTGTAGGAGGTCATCCGCATCCGGAAGAAAAATTAATTTCCCACTAGTTGTACTTGGGACAAATAAAAACATTACAAAGAATGCCAATTAATGTAGACAGAGAAGCTGCAGGATGGTAATCTCTGCCCACTTCCTTCAACGCATATAACATTATAATTAAAACGTAATACCTCTATGATAACCACAGTAGATGACTATGGCTTCCTCATTCAAACCTTTCTTGGACAAGGTTTGAATGGTTCAGAAGAGGATCTCCGAGAGATGAGTCTGATGAACACTAAAGAAATGAAGAAGAGTATGAACAATAATGCTGACAGAAAAGAAAGAAACTGATAGAGAACCTTTCTTCAGATAAGAGAGTTTAGAGGAAGAAAAGAGAGAGAATCGGTCAGCTTACCTATCATGCAACCTCCAAAAACCAGACTGAACCAATCCAACCCAATATTTTTGTCCACTTAACCACCTCCACTCAGCCACTGTTAACGTTCCCGGACCACGGATCCACTCCCATTAACCAGGCCCAAGTCCACAAACACTCTGGGCCAAAGACCAATAATCTTACCCAAGTCCGACCTACAAACACCGTCAGCCAGGTTCACGGTTGGTGAAGATCATGACCATGGTGCCAAAGGCCTCCAGAGCCCAAGCTAAGTTTGTCAACACGAAGTCTCTCGGTTGCCAGAACCCAAATTCACCATAATTCTTCTGTAACATGTTGTCGAAGCATAGCTTCTCATGTTGGTCACCAGCATCTTAAAACAAAGAAGACGACACATTCAGCCTCATTTCTATGAGAAGAGGTGCTGATTAACCTCACTTGAAGGTTGTTGGCTTACTGTGTGTATAGAGCTTGTGGGGATATTGTACATTAGTTACCATATATAGGAGATTAATGTTGATATGATAATGCTAGACAGGAAAGGGGAAAGAAAGATCAAATAGTAAGGCATTGAAGTTGCGAATAAAATTCAGTTTCAAAATAAATAAAAGTGAGACTAAAAACACAACGCATCAGCATCACATCTATGACTGACATAGGAGAAACATGGGTTGCTGAGCTTCACTCTGAACTAAGTGATGCAAAAAGATCCACTTTAATTGAAATACATACCAACCGCCAAAAGACAGCAAATCCATCATGAAATTCAGGGGACCAAAAAGAGTAAACTGTGATGATCTACATATCAAATACAGCTCAACAAGTATGCCTGTTATACAACAGAGATAAAAACGAAAACACATCGATGGTATGAAAGTAAAATATGATCACATATTTTGGCCAGTGGATTTCATGACAATAACACATAGAATCAACAAACTAATCCAATGGCTGATACTAGGGTGTTATCATACTAAAGTACTATGCAGGCATGTCATTATTGCAAAACTATAACCTACAGGTTGTGCCCATTACCACCTCCATGTGGCTCCCCTTTTCTCATCCTCAGTGCCAAGCAGATGCAGAGATCAGGTTTCGGTCCTTCCACCCCAACAGCATAGCTCCATCTTTCTCCACCAGTGTGTATTGATCAGAGTAATACCCTAACAAGGTCCTTATTACAGAGTTAACGTAAGAGCTCAGAGGATACTGCCGGAACCCTGCCATCATCAATCTGGACTTCCACTTGCCAAGGAGCTCATGACGTTCTACCCTGTCCTTTCCTTCACAAGCTATAATGTTTACAATGTCTCTGGCCAAACAGTGCTGCTCCACATTAATCCGCTCCTTCCTGTCCCTTGGCATGGTCACATCCATTGACTCAAAAATAGCCAAGTAGTATTCAAGGGTTTCTATGAACCTAGGTAAGAAAGGGGCTGTGTTTGTGTTTGACTCTTGCTCTACCAAAGTGGTCACCATTGGTGAAAGTGACTTCACCATCCTCAGAAGCCCATCTCTTGGATTATTCACATCAACACTCTCATCAGGGGTGTGGTGGAGCTGCAGAGGGAAATTTACAGCCAGAGCTTCACCAGGCCTTATGTCAAGCATATCCCTCGTGACATATGGAGCAAAAACTGACACCGCATGAAACTCAACAGGGATATTGAATTTTTCAGAAATCACCGCCAATCTTTTCCCTACTGCCTCCAAACTGTCCCCACGGGCATATTTAGAAACTGGATCATCAATTCCTGTGATCCGCACATGAGGGGGCCCATTGGGTCTAGCAGCTAGAGCTTGTAAGAGAGTTATCCACTGGGTCCCCTGAGCAATTTGAAAGTCTATGATGTGGATGCGATCTTCACACCTGCAGACTTCAGCAATGGCACCATTAGCGGCCATGTAACCAAACTTTAAATAAGGGCATATTTCATACAGGATATGCATGTACGAAAGTAAGTCCTTCCCTTCTGGCTTTGCACACCTAAGGGCCTGATAAATTGCAGTGCCTGTTGCCTCTTTTCTTGCCACCAGCCCCTCCACCATGTAGGCACCAAGACGCTGGATAGGGTCTCCACTAATAGATACAGCACCCTGAGCCTTTTCAATTAATATCTCAAAATTATCCGGTGTATCGTCATACAGAGCTCTGGCACAATCAATCAGCAATTTTTTAAGATCACCAGAAGGGAAAACCTGCAAATGTGCTACTTCCATCTGTCTGCGACGCTTCTCAGTAAGAACATTGTCGCCTGACTTACCATGCCTCAAAACATAATCAAACTGCATCACATGGGACCCCTGATGTTCCAGGTTCCAGGCTGTAGACCTTGGACCTGATGATTGTGGCTCTTTATTTTCCCCTAATGAAGGATCCGGCATGATCCCTTCCTCTTCATCATCATGACCCATCAGTGTGTTTTCTATGTTGTGATCATGACGTGCATGCTGTAAAGAAGTAGAATCACCAGAACAAAGCAGTAGATTCTTTTGGTGAAACTCCAGCGAAGGGCCTAACTGACAGTCCAGCAAAGGTCCTANGAGCACTCTCTAACTCGGGCAGAGTGTTTTCTATGTTGTGATCATGACGTGCATGCTGTAAAGAAGTAGAATCACCAGAACAAAGCAGTAGATTCTTTTGGTGAAACTCCAGCGAAGGGCCTAACTGACAGTCCAGCAAAGGTCCTAATGCTTGAAACTGATGATTATAATCTAGTGAAGAGTTACAGGAGGCGCTAGCTCCTGAAAGATTCTCAGAGGAACTGTACTGGTCCTGACTGTCACTCAAAGTCGTAAGAGTCTCAGAATCAAAATGACTTAAAAAAGGCGAATTAGGCGAGTTTCTTGAATCAAGTTTCAAAGAGCCAAACAATCTAACAGGGGTTGGTGGCACAGTGGGATTAGAAGATTGTGATAAGTCTGCACCAGTCACACCATATCTGAAGCACCGATCCGAATCCATGTTAAAATAATAGCATCCGTTTATCTATGTGATAACAAAGTCCCATGTAACATGGTGGTTCAGGAAAGGATTGTCCTGGTTCTTTATTGGATAATAATAACAGAACTCTAAAGGATCAACCTGAAACAGATGCAGATGAAAAGATAAGTTCATTTTGTTCAGTTTTATGTACATTATTATACTCAGTTATATATATTTATAATAAAGTAAATACAACACTACGTATACACCTATGTACATTATTAGACTCATTTGAATATATGCTTATCCTTTTGGCCATTGTGTTTGTTATTTGAGAAATGTGTATACAAGTCCATACACATGCCTGCTTATGTATATTTTCTTCTTTTTTTTTTTTGGTCCAAAAGTCTACCAAACACAGGAAAATGAGGAAGATAATGATCTATTAATGGACATCTTCGATGGAAAATATTTGCTGGTGCAATATCGGAAAAAAATCAAATAATATGAAAACCAAACGGATTTACTAGTGAAAGAAAAAACAATGGGCACCCGAATCTCAATAACAAAAAAGCATAAGACCAATCAAACAAAGTGAAAACGATAATCAATTAGACGAATACAAGAAATAATCTGGACAAACATAAAAATAAAATATAGATCAATAGTAAAGGAGGTAAAATTGCAAGAAAACGAAGCATAATTAACAAATTATTTCTCTCTCTTCATTGCAGAGACGAACTAAAAGATTTAATTTACTCCATATCCTAGACACTAGATATATCAGCAATTAAATTATCACAAAGATTACCTAATTGTACCAACAGAGAACAATTTCCAAGCTCAACAGCAGCTGCTACATATTTACAACAAAAAAAAAAAAAAATCGACCTATAATAAAAGATAAAAATTACATCTCTGTTTAGCTCAGTCATTCAACCCAACTCCACGAATGAATTCAAAAGAGATTTTTTTTTTCCATCCACAAAACCAACAGTTGGCCAAAAAAAAAGCCCATTAAACCCTGCTCTGTTTGGGAGCCAAGAAAATGAACATAGGGAAGACAAATCTAAAAACTTATTACATTTTAAGATTGTTTGGAACCACAGAAAATAGAATCGTTGTAATCAACATAGCCAACGGTCAAAAAGAAAAATCAACAGAGCAAAATTCAACTCTTTGACTGTCCTAATCAAAAAAATTCACCACTAATAGACGGAAATGACAAAGCAATTCTTCTTTCCTTATTCTTGAAGAAAAAATAAAACAAAATTTACCAAACAAGAGAAACAACTCAACCCACAAAAACGTAGCCAAAACCCTAACAATTATAGATGAAACTATAGCTCAAAGCTCAAACTAAAGAGATTGAAGTACCTTAGGTTTATCTCTCGACAAACCAGAACTTGGGTTTTTGAGTCTTCGTCGATAGATATCGTAAGATAATTGTATCGATGAGCAGAGACTTCAAGCGTTGGTGGTTACAGAGAACTTCGAAAGAAGAAGGTAACTAAGCTTCGAAGATTTATATAACGAGTTGGGGTATGGTTGACGGAAGCTTCATGGGATAACGGTAACGGCGACGTCTGACTATCCGTGTACGGGTTTGGGAACGGAATGAGTGACGGTGATTTTAAACAGTTGGACTCGCCGCCGACCACCCCACACGTTCGAATTATATCGCAAAATGGACA